AGATGATTGCTTATTCCCTTTTCCCCCCATACATTCCCACAAGATATTCTTGTCGACTCTGTTGAAGGCTTTTTCCCCATACATTCCCACAAGATATTCTTGTTGACTCTGTTGAAGGCTTTTTCCCCATACATTCCCACAAGATATTCTTGTCGACTCTGTTGAAGGCTTTTTCCCCATACATTCCCACAAGATATTCTTGTCGACTCTGTTGAAGGCTTTTTCCCCATACATTCCCACAAGATATTCTTGTCGACTCTGTTGAAGGCTTTTTCCCCATACATTCCCACAAGATATTCTTGTCGACTCTGTTGAAGGCTTTTTCCCCATACATTCCCACAAGATATTCTTGTCGACTCTGTTGAAGGCTTTTTCCCCATACATTCCCACAAGATATTCTTGTCGACTCTGTTGAAGGCTTTTTCCCCATACATTCCCACAAGATATTCTTGTCGACTCTGTTGAAGGCTTTTTCCCCATACATTCCCACAAGATATTCTTGTCGACTGTTGAAAGCTTTTTCCCCTTACACTCCCACAAGATATTCTTGTTGACTCTGTTGAAGGCTTTTTCCCCATACATTCCCACAAGATATTCTTGTCGACTCTGTTGAAGGCTTTCGCCACTTACATTCCCACAAGATATTCTTGTCGACTCTGTTGAAGGCTTTTTCCTGGTCTATGAATGTCAACAAACAGGTCTTATCATGTTCTATTGCTCTCTCTGATAGTTGTCTCAATGTATAAATGGCATCTGTGCAACTTCTGTTTTGTCGAAAGCCCATCTGTGCTTCAGAGAGCTGATACTGTTTCATTGGTCTTCGCTTTCTTTCAGCGATCTTAGCATACATTTTTTTCTAGTGTGACTGAGAAGCGATATTGCTCTGTAATTAGTACAGTTCCTCTTACTTCCTGAATACTTGAATACCTGACTGAATACCTTCGCTAAATCTTATTCAGCAAAGTTAAGAAGTTGGTAAGGGTGCAATATAATTATTAAAACTATCGGGCCACAAACAATGGTACTGAAAATATTTTTTAAGTAATAGGAAATTATATATAACAAAAATTAGTACAAGCATTACCCACACACCTCCCTTCTTCTCCGGCAGTGTGAATCTAATAAATTTAGCTATCACATTATATTCCCTTTCGGAGTTCTTAAACTAGTCTCAGAATTCTCTGACTAAATCTAAATCAAAGCAAACCAATGATTTATCAAGCTAAAATTACCATGAGATTAAATAAACCTAGAAAGGATTAGGTGTGATGAATATACACCTATTTCCTTCATGAATCCACTCACCATGCTGGAAATTGGGACTGCCCGAGATTTCACATGAGGACATCAATTGTTACTGATTACATATAAGTATAATAACCAAATACATTTCTTGTATCAAATAAACATGATATCAATCAACAAATATATAATATGTTTACATACGTGCGCATACTAGAGCATAAGCGTGGTTAGTGAGGACAAAGAAATACATCAATTTTTCTCCCACATGTGAGCGGCACGTTTTCTAGTCCAGCAGATAATATCTGACTTAGAGGAATTTGCAGCAATAGATCTCATTAAAATAATAAAAACTATTAACTCACTGCTGGAAGGGATTTCAAACACACATTGTTGACTTCAGTTATGACCACCTACTGGCTCACCATGTGTCTCTGTTTGAAATGGAAGTGGCATGGGCTAAACAAGGGGAACTACTCTGAGTTGATCCTCCCATTTGTCACAGATGTATCTTACAGCAATTATTATTACACATCCTGTCACAGAATGTTTACTGGTACAAAGTGTGTCATAGAACATTAATGTTACATGATGAATCATAGAGCATTTAATGTTACATGATGTGTCATAGAGCATTTAAGTTACACAGTGTGTCATAAAACATTTAATGTTATAAGATGTGTCATAGAACATGTAATGTTACATGATGTGTCATAGAGCATTTAATGTTTTATGATATGCCATTTGATATTGCATTATGTGTCATGGAACATTTAATGCTACTCAGTGTGTCAGAATATTTAATGTTACAGGAAGTGTCCTAGAGCATTTAATGTTACATGATGTGTCATAGAGCATTTATGGAACAGGTAACGAACTCGGGCCCATTTACACATTTATGAGTGAGGAAGTCGAGCCAGGACACTCTCATTAGATGTTCATTCATGTGTCTTAACCTTTGAGGCGCCCAAGTTTAAGTGGCAAGGGTGTCAGCTTGCTGTGATGTTGTACTGCGCTGATGCTCTTACCAGCAGTCATGCATGCTCTATATTATAGGATGTGAGCCCTTTTAATGACCCCATAACATGTACAACTGGCCCTAACCCCAACCCTCTTACCCCACACACTGAACCTAGGTCCCACGAGAGAGTGCATTCTACACCCTGTGGATTCAGACTTCTTAAACATTTTGAGGTGGCCTCTAAAACGCTGTGTTGCTGTAGAGATGCAATGCTACCCTCCTCGCACTTGCCGACACTGACAGCTGGAATAAACTCATTTCCTACTGACAATCCTAAATGGCTATCATAAACCCACCAAAAAACACTAATTCTGCTTACGCCTGAGAATGCAGTGTGGGCGGCAGCTGCTCACAGAAAAACGATTAACATACAAGGCGAAAAGCTTTGTGAACACAGCAGTACACTGTGACACCCCTCTAACCTTGAGCAACGTTGACCAGCCTAGCAAGCATCAATAAAAGGTCAGCTAGTGTGTAGATGAGCCCAAGTTCATTACTAGTAATCATTTATTGTTACAAGATGTGTCATTCAGCATTTATTGTTACACACCATGTCATAGAATGTTTAATGTTACAAGGTTTGTCAAAGAACATTTACTGTTACATAATGTGTCATGGAGCAATTAATGTTACATAATGTATCATAGAACATTTAATTTTCCGGGATGTATCATGGAACGTTTAATGTTACATTCGCTAATTGTGAAATGATTTAGTTAAATGTAGTGTTAACAGCATTCTGCATGTGTTGGCTGGTATCATAGAGTAATGTATGTCATATGAAATGCATGTTTCTTATAAGTGTTAATAAGATAATTGGTATCTTAGTCTGGTAAATACTGCATGAGATTGTTTGTGGCATATATATTTAATTTTTTATATTATGGTTAGTATCATAGAGAAATATATGGAGTATTATATGTTGTACAAGATATATGTTTAATACAAGTGGATAAGATCCTCTGTGTGGGCCCAGCCATGTCTCTTGAAGAAACTGGTTACTATCAGTGATGTCTGTTTTGTGTTGATGGTCTAGGAGAATATTCTCACAGTTCACTGCCACACAGCTACATGTATTCACCACACCCGCTTGATTATTGTTTGTTTTATTTCTCTGTGTTTTGTTCTGAAACACTGGTGCATTTATCAACATTGTATTGCTGTATACCTGGAACAGTGGTACATTTATCAGCATCTTTGTGCTGTATACATAAAACTGGTACATTTATCAGCATCTTTGTGCTGCATACATGAAACAGTAGTACATTTATCAGTATCTTTGTGCTGCATACCTGAAACAGTGGTGCATGAGACTCAACATAGTCAGAACAGCCTGCAGATAGTTTAACCCTGTGTCCTGAGAAGCCACCAAACCTACACTTGTGGCTGGGTCCAATTACCTATAAATGTCACTGTTCTAACTTTTCTACAGTGATGTGTTTAGAAAACACATAGCAAATGCTATTGGCTGTAGTCCTGCCTGCACAGTTGAGGAGGTCAGCTAAAAATTGCATTTAGGTGTGTTTTGCTGTGAACCACATAGCCTTTTTTGAAGTCAAGTTGACATCAAATTTTCCTATAAGCCTCAGTGAAAGAGGTCATGGGGTCATGGCATGGGTGGCCCAACACATATAGTTGTATTCCAATTAAGGCTTCACTTTAATGTGGTAATTGGTACATAGAAAATGAATGTGGCAATAACAATACAGCTTCCATACATACTTGAGATGTCATCATGTGTACACACACAGACATTGTTTGGATGTCATCATGTGTACACACACAGACGTTGTTTGGATGTCATCATGTGTACACACACAGCAGAAGTTGCTTGATGCATGCCTGAGCTTTTTTTTTCTGTGCATGGCTTTGGTGCTATTTAATGCAGCACATGTATGTGTTGCCAGATCTGGCTGTGGCTAAGTTTGTTTATTGTCAGACATGATAGAATGTTTCAGGGACATGTTTGATCAGAGCTAACAGGTGCAGAAAGTTCATCAAGCAGGCTCAAACAAAGTGTAGTACCTCTATAATGATATTCTAGACAATAATATGCAACTACCTGACACTCAGGTTCAGTCATTGACATGTTCATCAAGTATTTGATTCCACTAACCTGCCTTTTCTCAATAAATAGGGCTGGGTGCTGTATTCTCAGGGAATCAACATTAGTATCTTTCTTAATTAAATATACATGAACCTTTTCATCTTCTTCTTCTTTGTCACTTCCTCTTTTACCGCTGTGGGTGTCGAGGGAGATATAAGGTTCTGTTTCTAGCTCTTCTGGCTGCCTCGACCATAGGCACATCGTGCTGTTGTAGAGTTTCTCTGATGTTATCCTTCCATCTTGTTCTTGGTCTACCCCGTGCTCTTATCATCACTGACTGTAAATCAGTTTTACTTCTCAGTGAATTTCCATTAGTCATGTTCTTAATTAAATATACATGAACCTGATCTTCAGTGACCGTATATCAGCTCTGATTTCACATTAGTATCTTTGTTCATTAAATATACATTAATTTTCTTCTCCGAGAACAGACATTAGTATCATGTTGCTAGTGAATGTACATCACTATTGTTCTTACTTCAGTTAAATTATTGTTGATGTATTAGAATAAGCATTAGCATTATGTTCTCAGTGCATATGCCTGAGTACTGTGGATGCGATACATATAGAACTTGTGTTAACAGTATGATCAATATGAATCACAAGTTGTTGTCTTGGTCTGGCCCACAGAAACACCAGGCTGTGGGATACAAGTGTCAGACTGCAGCCGCGGCCAAGTACTTGTGGAGATGTTCCGTGGAGCAGCAGCTGTTCTTCACGTATGTACCTTTTCCAGCTCATGCTGGTTACTGCCTTAGTCTCACCTCCCCTCTGGGGTGGGGTGTGGGTGGGGACAAGAACAGATCCACTGCCCCTGAACAAGCAAATGCTACAAGGGGACTAATTACAGTTTTGCTGAAAATGATGTTTGGGCCCCAAAAAAACCACCTAGATATCACAACCTAGCTGTAAACCACAGCATGCCAGCCATAGAATAAAAAAGGAGAAGTCTCACTGACTTCCATGTGTTTCCATGCTCTCACAGCCTGTCCTGTGTTACTACAAGTGATTGAAGAACACAAGTTAACTACACAGACTGGATAGCAATACTGTATCATCGGCATATCGGATCTCTGGTATTTCACCGATATTTAGGGCATCATACTGCACTCTGATTATATCATCTCTGATATTTCTCATTATATTTTCAATGTGCAGGTTAAACAAATAGGGTGACAGACAGCACACAGCCCTGACGGACTTCATGCTTGATGTCAAACCAGCCTGATGTCTTGCCGTCTATTCTAACCACTGCTTGTTGGTCTAGATAGAGCATTGTTATGAGGTGTACTACATGTGCTCAGTCGGTGCTAGAATGAAATCTCATGTTGTGTACCACAGCAACAGTCCATGTTTGTTTGTTTGTTTGTCTTTCCTGCAGACTGTCATCGTCAGCAACAGCACCCAAGATCCGGTCTGGTGGATCTCTTTTTTCTCGTGGTTCCAAGTTTCGATTCAGGTAAGCCACTACATATTATTCACACAGGGCTGTTTTATAACAGAGCATCAGTGTTTATGTGTTGTCCAAACACTGACCATAGAACATTGAAACACAGAGACTAAATGCTGCGAAGTTTTTAGTTTCGTGGAAAATAATTGTTTCTTAATTGACTGCATACCCTGTGTGTACCAGTTGGAGCAGCGAGACAGGAAAACCATGCGGAAGCCACCTATCCTTACATCAGGCAGATCAGAATGGGATTTGCTAGCCCCAAAACACTTGAAGACACTCAGGAGAAGATCACAGCACTTGTGGTCATGTCTGAAGTGCAATGAAGATGATCTGTAAATGAGCAATAAACAGTGAAACATTGAGCAGTAAACCACTGCCTCTTGATCTTCACCATTTCTATGTCAGTTATGGAATTTATTGTATACTTGTGCAGGTCATCAGATGCTGTGTACTTTACTGAGGTTTCTGTACGTTAGACCTGGTTTTCTCTCTGTCATTTGTGACTAATTCACTGTTGCTATGTTTACCAGTGGCAGATGCCAAAATGAGGCTTATGAAGCCAGCGGCAACATTCGCAGAGCTGAACCACCGTTTGCCAGGTATGTTTGTTAGCATAGTTTAAAATCTTCACTTTAATGTCTTATCTCACATGCCAGGAAGTTTCCTAAGGAGTTTAAGATTATAAGAGTTATCTTACAGAAGTTTATAGACATGCATTATCTCATCCAAGACGTGGAGTCGTACACCTATTTAGGCAGTAATGTAGATAAAGATGGAGGAACTGATAGAGATATTAAAATAAGAATACAAAAGGCAAGAGGGGAATTTGTGGAGGTCAAAAGAAATTAAAATAAATACTAAACTAAAATATTTTTAATTCTAATGTCAAATCAGTACTATTTTATGGGGCGGAAATATGGAGAACAACGAAGGCAATTACTAATAAATTGCAGACATTCATTAACTGGTGCCTGCGCAGAATAGAGGGAATAAAATGGTATGATAGAATAACTAATGTAGAACTTTGGGAGAGAACTAAACAGGCTCCAGTGGATCAGGAGGTGAGGAAAAGACGCTGGCGTTGGATAGGGCACACATTGAGAAAACAGGAGAACAGCATAACTAGAATGTCTTTGCATTGGAACCCACAGGGGCATAGGAATAAAGAAAGGCCAAAAAACACATGGAGAAGAGAGCTGGAGAATGAGGTTAGAAAGATTGGGAGGACATGGGGAGAGCTCCATGTAATGGCAAAGGATAGAATGACTTGGCGTGAGTTGGTTGAGGGCCTATGCTCCATTGGGGGATAGAAAGGCAGAAGAAAAATTATCTCATCCTGAACTATAGGGCGGGGCATACAGCCAGTACTTAGCTGCTTCTGTCTCCTTGCTCCTCCTGCCTCTTTTGGCTACCTTGTATATAATGTTTACCTGTTGTGTGATAAAGCCTGGAAGATTGCTTGCACATTTTAGGTACATAATGCCCACATCTACAAGTTCAGCACACAGAAGGAGCATAGCAAACATGTTGGAACACTGTTGACAGTTTGGATGTCCCTGACCCATGGTCTGCTGATTGTAGTTGCATTAGTTCTCAGAGCTATGGTGGTGGCTGAAGGGTGTAGAAAACATCCCTGTTTTGTGTATGCAATTTGATCATGGTCATTGTTTTCTAATAGTCACAATAGATGTGTTTCTGTGATTTGAGATGTGTTCCTCCGATGCAGGGTTACAAAGACAGGAGCTTGACCCAAACAGTAACTATGGGTGATCACATACAAGTGGAGTGGATTGTGAAACTGTTCTTGTATTAAACCATGTGTTTACTTGACATTTGTTGACAGAGCATCTTCACTGCCCAATGTGTCCAAGAAGAATAATCCTGGCCTGGTTAAGAACAACACAATGAGGAACTCTCAGGCTTCCTCCAGCTTTAAAGAAGGTCAGTACCTCTCCATGTCACTGTTGTCTCTGTGTACACAAGAGCTTTCTCTTCAGTATAATCCAGATTTAGTTTGCTTTCCTGGGCTTTTTCTAGATTTATCATTGCATGCTGTGGGAGATGTGGGCATGATTTCATGTGTACAGTGGGAGATGTGGGCATGATTTCAGGTGTACAGTGGGAGATGGCTTGATTTCAGGTGTACAGTGGGAGATGTGGGCATGATTTCAGGTGTACAAAGGGGAGATGTGGGCATGATTTCAGGTGTACAGTGGGAGGTGTAGGCATGATTTCAGGTGTACAGTGGGAGGTGTAGGCATGATTTCATGTGTACAGTGGGAGATGTAGGCATGATTTCAGGTGTACAGTGGGAGATGTAGGCATGATTTCAGATGTACAGTGGGAGATGTGGGCATGATTTCAGGTGTACAGTGGGAGATGTGGGCATGATTTCAGGTGTACAGTGGGAGATGTGGGCATGATTTCAGGTGTACAGTGGGAGATGTGGGCATGATTTCAGGTGTACAGTGGGAGATGTGGGCATGATTTCATGTGTACAATGGGAGATGTGGGTATGATTTCAGGTGTATAGTGGGAGATGTAGACATGATTTCAGGTGTACAGTGGGAGGTGTAGGCATGATTTCAGGTGTACAGTGGGAGATGTGGGCATGATTTCAGGTGTACAGTTGGAGGTGTAGGCATGATTTCAGGTGTACAGTGGGAGGTGTAGGCATGATTTCATGTGTACAGTGGGAGATGTAGGCATGATTTCATGTGTACAGTGGGAGATGTGGACATGATTTCATATGTACAGTGGGAGATGTGGACATGATTTCATGTGTACAGTGGGAGATGTGGACATGATTTCATGTGTACAGTGGGAGATGTGGACATGATTTCATGTGTACAGTGGGAGATGTGGGCATGATTTCAGGTGTACAGTGGGAGATGTGGGCATGATTCCAGGTGTACAGTGGGAGATGTGGACATGATTTCAGGTGTACAGTGGGAGATGTGGGCATGATTCCAGGTGTACAGTGGGAGATGTGGGCATGATTTCAGGTGTAAAGTGGGATATGTGGGCATGATTTCATGTGTACAGTGGGAGATGTGGACATGATTTCAGGTATACAGTGGGAGATGTGGGCATGATTTCATGTGTACAGTGGGAGATGTGGGCATGATTTCAGGTGTACAGTGGGAGATGTGGGCATGATTTCAGGTGTACAGTGGGAGATGTGGGCATGATTTCATGTGTACAGTGGGAGGTGTAGGCATGATTTCAGGTGTACAGTGGGAGATGTAGGCATGATTTCAGGTGTACAGTGGGAGGTGTAGGCATGATTTCAGGTGTACAGTGGGTGGTGTAGGCATGATTTCAGGTGTACAGTGGGAGATGTGGGCATAATTTCAGGTGTACAGTGGGAGATGTAGACATGATTTCAGGTGTACAGTGGGAGGTGTAGGCATGATTTCAGGTGTACAGTGGGAGATGTAGACATGATTTCATGTGTACAGTGGGAGGTGTAGGCATGATTTCAGGTGTACAGTGGGAGATGTGGGCATGATTTCAGGTGTACAGTGGGAGATGTGGGCATGATTTCATGTGTACAGTGGGAGATGTGGACATGATTTCAGGTGTACAGTGGGAGATGTGGGCATGATTTCATGTGTACAGTGGGAGATGTGGGCATGATTTCAGGTGTACAGTGGGAGATGTGGGCATGATTTCATGTGTACAATGGGAGATGTGGGTATGATTTCAGGTGTATAGTGGGAGATGTAGACATGATTTCAGATGTACAGTGGGAGGTGTGGGCATGATTCCAGGTGTACAGTGGGAGATGTGGGCATGATTTCATGTGTACAGTGGGAGATGTGGGCATGATTTCATGTGTACAGTGGGAGATGTGGGCATGATTTCAGGTGTACAGTGGGAGATGTGGGCATGATTTCATGTGTACAGTGGGAGATTGGGCATGATTTCATGTGTACAGTGGGAGATGTGGGCATGATTTCATGTGTGTGGGAGATGGACATGATTTCAGGTGTACAGTGGGAGATGTGGGCATGATTTCAGGTGTACAGTGGGAGATGTGGGCATGATTTCAGGTGTATAGTGGGAGATGTGGGCATGATTTCAGGTGTACAGTGGGAGATGTGGGCATGATTTCAGGTGTACAGTGGGAGATGTGGGCATGATTTCAGGTGTACAGTGGGAGATGTGGGCATGATTTCAGGTGTACAGTGGGAGATGTGGACATGATTTCAGGTGTACAGTGGGAGATGTGGGCATGATTTCAGGTGTACAGTGGGAGATGTGGGCATGATTTCAGGTGTACAGTGGGAGATGTGGGCATGATTTCAGGTGTACAGTGGGAGATGTGGGCATGATTTCATGTGTACAGTGGGAGATGTGGGCATGATTTCATGTGTACAGTGGGAGATGTGGGCATGATTTCATGTGTACAGTGGGAGATGTGGGCATGATTTCAGGTGTACAGTGGAAGATGTGGGCATGATTTCAGGTGTACAGTGGGAGATGTGGGCATGATTTCGTGTGTACATCTTTAGCAGCAGTAGATAAAATAATCACAGTAATAAAGATGAGAATCAGCTGCCAAAAAAATGCAAGGATGGGGCAACTTTCTTGAGGACAAACAACAACAGAAACAAGGACTTGTGCTCGTCAGCAGTGACTCAAGTCTACAGTGTATTACATCCAGACATGAGGACACAACAATGTATCTGGTGGGGGGGGGGGCAACAACAATAAACCTACTAACAAGCATGTCATGAGAGTTGACTAATTAGGGGTTTCCTTCTAAGTTGAAGTGCATCTGCCTGAGAAGCAAGGAACCAACAGTCTGCATATAAGTAAGGGAGATCTGCAAAACAAATGTGCACTCAGAACTCGTCCAGAAGTGGACAAACAACCAGAACTTTCCACCAGAGTTTATAGCTGGTGGATGCAAAGAAGAAAAAGAAGATTGAATGAAATGACCAATCTAGTGAGTTGTTTGAACAGAAGCATTTGAAAAGGAAGAGATTCCAAAGAAGAATTAAAAGCTAGCATTTATAAGGAGCACATTGGGTGTCACTGAGATGCCTCTAGAGCAGTTCATTCCAAGTTAATTCAGTTCTGCTGATTTCTGTTGGTCTGTCAAGAATTGCATACGTTTTCGTAGTCACCAAAAGATCGTTTGTTTTTTGAAGTAAATTAATATTAGAATCATAAAAAGGATTGCACTTGAAGGGTTGGGAGGCAACTGAGGTTTAACACCTGTCACATGGTTTCATTGCACCCGCCTGCATGCTGCTCTCCACCAGTTGCTTGTATTTGATGACATGGTCACGCCGCTGATTGCTGACACATCCCTGCATTTTTTAATGTTTTCTGTTTGCTTGATTTCCAATGGTTAGATGAGACATATGGGGGAAACATCTTGTGCATGTTTTATGATTTTCTTTTTTTTCATTTATCATCTGTTCTAGATCGAAGGCAGTTTAATGGTAAGTGATCACTGGTGTCTGAGAAAGTCACTTAACTAGTGCACAAATTACTTCATGTATGTACTGACATGTTTAGGAATGCTGCAGCCGCATGTACACCCTTCCCGCTCCACCCAGGCCAGGCAGCAGTTTCAGACTAGTCTCATTGTTCTCACTGAGAGAGTTGGTTTCTGCCATCACCTGCATCTGATGCATGGCCCTGCTTGCAGTATTTGAATGTGTCATATCTTGTTGGAGACGACTGACAGCAACATATGACAGAGTCACTCGTCATCAAGACCACCTCCCGCATTAGAGATGTATTCATCGGGACCCACTCCCCATAGAGAGCTAGTATCATTGGGGGTCACCTGCCACAGTTGACAGGTAGCTAGCATTACTGGGGCAAGTAATATTATAGTCTTGAGTTCAGTGAATGAAGGCGGGATGGGGGGTGGGGGGGGGGGGCGGGGGGCGCTCGGCTCAATATTGCCACATGTACAATCAATATTGCAAGATCTCTCAGCACTTCAGGACAGAAGAGCTCACCTGAGGATAGGACCGGAAAGACAAAGCAACACTGAAGTCCCTCTTCATCACAAGCTAGAGGGTAACATATTAGACAAGACTTTCAGCTATCTGATGGCTGAAGAGGAAATGCTTCACAAGACATTGAGGGACTTCTGCAACCCAAAGGGAGGGCAGGGAAGACTAAACAAGACTCAAGGGTAACTCTATATCCAGGCTAGTTAGAAAGTTAATTCAAGGCCCAGGGGAGGGCAGGGAAGACTAAACAAGACTGAAAGGTAACACTATATCCAGGCTAGTTAGAAAGTTAATTCAAGGCCCAGGAGGTGTGGATGTACAAAAAATAGCTTTTGTTTTATGGAAGAAAAATTATAAAATACGCAGGCTTTAAAGAGAGCAGTTTGAGAGCATACAACTTTCCTATAGCAACTTTTTTATCGGAGTCATGGACTGTCTCGCAATCACTAAAGAGGAAAATCAGGGTTTTGAGCTGAAATGCTTCAGAAAGATTTTTAGAATACTATGGACCTAGACAAAGATAAATACTGGCATTCTAAAAGTTCTAAACATTGAAGAAAACAGGTGCGTAAACAGCATGTCATCTCTAAAAACTGTAATTTGGCAATATCGGATGTTGCAAAGAGCATAAATAGAAGACATGGTACGGCAAAAGAGAGGCAGGTGTTGACCAGTACAGAGGTGGGTGTGTCACATAGGAGACACCTTGGACAGAAAAGTACAGGTGGTGGGAGAGCTGGTGAGAAATCCAGTGTCTTTCAGGCAGGCTGTCATATGAGTAACCTTCTGTAGAGGACCTGCTACATGATGATGATGATGATGATGAGAGACAATGGAAATGAAAAAAAAAAAGCTTACGAAAAAATTAAAAAGTAAAATATATGGTCTATACTGAAAGACATAAGTCTTATAAAACCGTACTTGAAGAAAAAGTTAAAAGCCAGTGATAAAGTGATAGACAGCGATACAAATGAGATTATAACATGAAAAGATGGGCAGAAAACAGTCTGGCAGAGTGAACAACCAAGGCAACCAACAGAGAGTGTTAGAAATCCTTTGTAGCCGATCACTGATGTGGAGAAGGCACCTCATTAAATGGGTAATAGCCAGGGCAGAAGTGGAAAGAATGAACTAGATTGTCAAAGACTCACGGACTGCACAGAAGACAGAATGTTCACCAAGATAAAACAGATGGAAGGCTCCTTCAACCTTGAGATCAAATCTCAATAGAGGTCATTGAGTGGGCATGATTGTTGATGGGGCTCTCATTGACTTTCAGTATCGGTCACCTGTCCTTGTCTCTCTCTCACACACACACACACATACAGAGTTGACACATGATGCGGGATTTGTTCTATACCAGTTTACCTCCAAATCTTGTGTGTCCTGACTGTCAAGTGAACATGTCAATGAGTCTGTTTCTACTGCTTGCTAACCTGCCATTGTTAATCTGTTGTTTACCGTTCAGTGTATCTGGCTAGAGGCAGAAACAAAGAAGGTAACATGGTAGTCTCTTCAAGTCACTTGGGCACAATTACTGGCTTTTATAGTCTTTGTTTGTTTCTTTGTTTGTTTCTTCAGATGTATTTTCAAATTTTTTTCTACCTGACATCTGCTTGTAGAATTGCACATACTGCTGGTGTTTAATTTATAACGAGCACCTGCTTGAAAACTAATCCAAGTTGTGGGTACTTACTGCCTGTGGCAAAAAGGAAATCAATGGTATCATCACTAGTCAACTATGGCCATGATAACAGACAGCTGTTGCAGGACACAGGTCAGTGCCCTGACCAGTGGTCAGTAAATAGCCAGCCAAGTTCCCAGAGGGAGCTGCCATGATGTAGCAGATAGATATTCAGATATAAGTCTGGGGAGGTAAAGGCGACCCACGTGATGCTGTCCACATCACCCCCCAAGTGCCAATTGATGTGTCCAATATAGGTCTTGCCCTGTATGCCCCATGGGCTTGAAGGTATGGACAAGTGTCCTTGACTTTTTATTGATCAGTTTTCAGAGGGCTGTCAGTTCTCTGGTATCATGGCTGACAATTGTCTGTCAGAGGGCTGTCAGTTCTCTGGCATCATGGCTGACAGTCGTCTGCCAGAGGGCTGTCAGTTCTCTGGTATCATGGCTGACAATTGTCTGTCAGAGGGCTGTCAGTTCTCTGGCATCATGGATGACAATTGTCTGTCAGAGGGCTGTCAGTTCTCTGGCATCATGGATGACAATTGTCTGTCAGAGGGCTGTCAGTTCTCTGGTATCATGGCTGACAATTGTCTGTCAGAGGGCTGTCAGTTCTCTGGCATCATGGCTGACAATTGTCTGTCAGAGGGCTGTCAGTTCTCTGGCATCATGGCTGACAATTGTCTGTCAGAGGGCTGTCAGTTCTCTGGCATCATGGCTGACAATTGTCTGTCAGAGGGCTGTCAGTTCTCTGGCATCATGGCTGACAATTGTCTGTCAGAGGGCTGTCAGTTCTCTGGCATCATGGCTGACAATTGTCTGTCAGAGGGCTGTCAGTTCTCTGGCATCATGGCTGACAGTTGTCTGTCAGAGGGCTGTCAGTTCTCTGGTATCATGGCTGACAATTGTCTGTCAGAGGGCTGTCAGTTCTCTGGCATCATGGCTGACAATTGTCTGCCAGAGGGCTGTCAGTTCTCTGGTATCATGGCTGACAATTGTCTGTCAGAGGGCTGTCAGTTCTCTGGCATCATGGCTGACAATTGTCTGTCAGAGGGCTGTCAGTTCTCTGGCATCATGGCTGACAATTGTCTGTCAGAGGGCTGTCAGTTCTCTGGCATCATGGATGACAATTGTCTGTCAGAGGGCTGTCAGTTCTCTGGCATCATAGCTGACAATTGTCTGATATTTCCACAATGTTGCATGTGAATACTTCAGATACCATTGACTGGGAATTATATTTGATATATAGACTGTGAAAGTGTGATTCTGGTAGTTGCGCGTGCGCACTCGTGCACACACACGCACACACATGAGGTCAATAGTGTCACTGTTTTCCTGCATGTTTTTGATTTAGTGTTGCCTGTTTATCACCAACATGTTTATCTGAACACATCTGACCAAATCCACCCCCACCTAAACTTTTGTCCATGTTTGGTCCTAGTCTTCTGGTTTTCCTGTTAATGAGAAGATGAAGTCACCTACAGAAAGAAGAGGCAAACGTTGTCACAAGAAAAATGAGAAATGTGAACATTGTTAATGTTATAAAGATAAACTGGTTAGGATAGGCATACATTTATGATCAGGATAATGGGCAGCCAGAGATACTACACACAGATACACCAGGTGTGAGGATATGACAAAGATAACAGAGAGGCAGAGATACAACACACAGATACACAAGGTTTGAGGATATGACAAGGATAACAGAGATACTACACACAGATACACCAGGTTTGAGAATATGACAAGGATAACAAGAGAGGCAGAGATACTACACACAGATACACCAGGTTTGAGGATATGACAAGGATAACAGAGATACTACACACAGATACACCAGGTTTGAGGATATGACAAGGATAACAGAGATACTACACACAGATACACCAGGTTTGAGGATATGACAAGGATAACAGAGATACTACACACAGATACACCAGGTTTGAGGATATGACAAGGATAACAGAGAGGCAGAGATACAACACACAGATACACCAGGTTTGAGGATATGACAAGGATAACAGAGATACTACACACAGATACACAAGGTTTGAGGATATGACAAGGATAACAGAGAGGCAGAGATACAACACACAGATACACAAGGTTGAGGATATGACAAGGATAACAGAGATACTACACACAGATACACCAGGTTTGAGGATATGACAAGGATAACAGAGATACTACACACAGATACACCAGGTTTGGGGATATGACAAGGATAACAGAGCTACTACACAGATACACCAGGTTTGAGGATATGACAAGGATAACAGAGATACTACACACAGATACACCAGGTTTGAGGATATGACAAGGATAACAGAGAGACAGAGATACTACACAGATACACCAGGTTTGAGGATATGACAAGGATAACAGAGATACTACACACAGATACACCAGGTTTGAGGATATGACAAGGATAACAGAGAGACAGAGATACTACACAGATACACCAGGTTTGGGGACATGACAAGGATTACAGAGATACTACACAGATACACAAGGTTTGAGGATATGACAAGGATAACAGAGAGACAGAGATACTACACACAGATACACCAGGTTTGAGGATATGACAAGGATAACAGAGATACTACACACAGATACACAAGGTTTGAGGATATGACAAGGATAACAGAGAGACAGAGATACTACACACAGATACACCAGGTTTGAGAATATGATAAGGATAACAAGAGAGACAGAGATACTACACTCAGATACACAAGGTTTGAGAATATGACAAGGATAACAGAGATACTACACACAGATACACCAGGTTTTTGGATATGACAAGGATAACAGAGAGACAGAGATACTACACACAGATACACTAGGTTTGGGGATATGACAAGGATAACAGAGAGGCAGAGATACTACACATAGATACACCAGGTTTGAGAATATGACAAGTATAACAGAGATACAATACACAAGGTTTGGGGATATAGCAAGGGCTGGATACCTGGAGACTGCTGCCCAGAGAGATATGACAGTGAGTACATGCTGCCCAGAGAGATATCATGACAGTGAGTACATGCTGCCCAGAGAGATGTCATGACAGAGAGTACATGCTGCCCAGAGAGATATCATGACAGTGAGTACATGCTGCCCAGAGAGATATCATGACAGTGAGTACATGCTGCCCAGAGAGATATCATGACAGTGAGTACATGCTGCCCAGAGAGATGTCATGACAGTGAGTACATGCTGCCCAGAGAGATATCATGACAGTGAGTACATGCTGCCCAGAGAGATATCATGACAGTGAGTACATGCTGCCCAGAGAGATGTCATGACAGTGAGTACAAGCTGCCCAGAGAGATGTCATGACAGTGAGTACATGCTGCCCAGAGAGATGTCATGACAGTGAGTACATGCTGCCCAGAGAGATATCATGACAGTGAGTACATGCTGCCCAGAGAGATATCATGACAGTGAGTACAAGCTGCCCAGAGAGATGTCATGACAGTGAGTACAAGCTGCCCAGAGAGATGTCATGACAGTGAGTACATGCTGCCCAGAGAGATGTCATGACAGTGAGTACATGCTGCCCAGAGAGATGTCATGACAGTGAGTACAAGCTGCCCAGAGAGATGTCATGACAGTGAGTACAAGCTGCCCAGAGAGATGTCATGACAGTGAGTACATGCTGCCCAGAGAGATATCATGACAGTGAGTACATGCTGCCCAGAGAGATGTCATGACAGTGAGTACAAGCTGCCCAGAGAGATGTCATGACAGTGAGTACAAGCTGCCCAGAGAGATGTCATGACAGTGAGTACATGCTGCCCAGAGAGATATCATGACAGTGAGTACATGCTGCCCAGAGAGATGTCATGACAGTGAGTAAATGCTACCCAGAGAGATCTCATGACAGTGAGTACATGCTGCCCAGAGAGATGTCATGACAGTGAGTAAATGCTATCCAGTGAGATCTCATGACAGTGAGTACATCTATTACATGTTGAAGCTCAAACAGAGGGCAGCAGGTGGTGGCTCTAAGATGTCTAGACAGCAGGAATCAGTGTTAAAGAATCGTGGCAAAGATGGCAGGGGACATGGAATGTGGGATCTGCTACCCTGTGAGATGCACCATGAGCCTCTGTTAGTTACATCAGGCACTGGAGAAATTCTCTCAGAACCTGTCAGGCTGTTTTTTGTAGGACAGGCCATGTTGCACATGGAAACCCAGAACCTTTTGTGATTGTGTTCTTGCTGACAGTCATGTTGTCTGAGTAGACTGTGTGACTGACTGCCAGTCATTTGTTTTAGTGACACATATTCACTGAAGCATGCACTACCACATGTCACTTGCATGCATGACCTAACCCATCCTCTCCAGCTCTGGTTACATCCTCAAGCCTGTGCTGCTCTAGCCTGGTCTGTAGAAGTACTTGGCTGTGTTCTTTCATGTTATCTCATGAGGCACACACGATGGGAATCCTGGCAACACAGTGGTTTGCCTGGTGCTCCAGTCCGTTCAAACCCCCAGTGAGGCATGCCTGTACAGTTCCACCCAGCCTAACAGTGGCTGCCTGGTACTCCAGTAGTTGTAGGTTCAAACCCCTAGTGAGGCACGCCTGTACAGTTCCACCCAGCCTAACAGTGGCTGCATGGTGCTCCAGTAGGTTCTGGGATATTGACCACATCATTAACAAGTACCAGTTAGTCTACACAAGTTGAACAAGTTAGTCTACACAAGTTGAACCATTTAGTCTACACAAGTTGAACCAGTTAGTCTACACAAGTTGAACCAGTTAATCTACACAAGTTGAACCAGTTATTGTACACAAGTTGAACCAG